TGGTTATCTGTTAAGATGGGCAGAGAAAAACAAAGAACAACTTGCGGCTTCTCAAGATCAGTCCTTTGTCATCCTCTGCACTCTTTGATCAGCACCTCTCTGCCCCAGACTGTCGCTCTGATCCTATACCAAAGCCTGACCACCTGAGATAGTGAGAGCACCTGTGAGGCCCCTGAGCATGCCCTGTCAGCTCAGTGTCCTCCCTAGGGCACCTGCAGCACCCCACAGCCCAGAAACAAGGGCGTTTCTGCAGGGTATGCGCAGAGAGCCACGGGCACCTCGCACGGAAGCCCTAGGGCGCCATGCCGTGCCCCTTCCTGAGGATGAAAAGTTCGGTTTGCAGATGAAACATTTACTCATTCACGTGGATAAAAATCTAGACTCGTGTAGCCCATGCCCAAATCCAGATGCAAACAGAACAGGAAACAGTTAAAACTCCTGACTGCAGATACGGCCCCTTGGAGGTCTGCACAAGGAAGCTGTACAGATGGAAAGCTGGAAAGCGTAAGTCTTCATCCACAGAATGCATTTTCTCAAAGAGCTGAAAGCAGAGTGAATATTGAGAGATTTTGCTGGCAAATGGAGAAACCGAGGCCAGGTGGAACCAGTTCCTCTGCAGACAGGTGCAAAGTCAGAAGTCAAGAAGTAACGTCTAGTCCAGTGCTCTGCCCCTGAAGGAAATTTTGGATCCTAATCTAAAGAATCTAAAAGAGAAGGAGGGGGTCCATGTACAGAAAAAGCAAAGAGAAGAAAGGAGAGGCAGCGGGTGTAGACTCAGCATTTCGGGGTGTGTGCTGCAGGAAACCAGACAATGACTCAGGAAAGGTGCGCTAATCAGGAAGTGAGCGCAGGCCGCGTGGACAGAGTCCCACCTGCAGGGACCCGGGCAGACACTGGAAACCAGCGTGTGACCCTGTCTGGAAGTGGAGTCCAGTGTGACAGAGGCTCCCCCGGAGTGGCTCAGGGAGAAGGATTTGTTTTTGATTTTGATTCGGTTACTTTTATTAGTACATAGTGGTTGCACTCACTGTGAGGAGTCGGTACGCATACATCACACACGTTAAACCTTTTTTACTTCCTCATCTCTTCCCCAGCCCGCTCCCTCCACCTTTCAGTTGAGGAGAGAGGGATTTGAAGGGGGACCCCTGAAGAGCAGACTGTAAGGTTCTCTGACCTGAGTATCAGGAAGTCGTAGCCTGTGAGAGGGACCTTCTGAAATGCCCATCCTCCAGTGATAGAGAAGGGGGCAGGCTGCTTCCGTGGGGCCGGGAGCCCACAGAGGTTGAGACAGAGCTTGCTGGTGGTCTCTGTACTTGCTGACCACCGGCCCTGAGCCTCTTCTGGTCCAGGACACTGGGAACCGGGGATGGCAACTGGGTATCCAGTGGGTCTGGCTCACCCCATGTCAGACACCACTGCTTGGTAGGGGCCATCCCTCCCGTAGACAGTCAGTCCCCCTGGGTCACCTGCCGTGATGCATTTTCCTAAAATGTGACCAGATGCTATGCTGCTCCCTTTACCTGCTGCCCACCAAAAATGGAAAAAGAAAAACCATTCCCAGAAACTGTCTAGTGTACCTGTCTGCTTCCTCAGTCAGAAGTACCATTTTTAAAAATTCTTCTCTCTAGTATCCCCACACCCCTGAGGACCCCCACCCTGAACCCCAGGTTTGTTTGTGTCACCTTCCCAATCACTGCCCTTTATCCCCCGAGTATCAGGTGAAGCCACTGTCGTGGGGGAACTGGCTAAAAAAGAAATAGCAATGATCTTTCTTACAAAAATATGAAACTGTCTTTTTAACAAATGAAATAGGCCCATCTTGATAACAGTGTGCAGAATATAATTCATTTTGCTGAAATTCTTGTAGTAAATAAGATTTTCAAAGTTCTTATAGTGAAGAACACTTTAAAAGTTAATGCGATCGGTTTAATTGAGCCGGCATTTATAAAGCAACTGGTCTGCACTTTGCCAAGTAAGACACACTGGGATGGCCGCAGAGAAGCCGGCGCAGGCTGCAGGCCTCGGGTCAGCCCATGTGGGGAGCGGCGGGGCCAGAGCCAGTCTTGAGACTGGATCCTGTTCTGCTCGTCATTGTCGGCCAAGTGCGTGCTGAGTGTCCCACTTTCCTGGCAGAGCTGTCACTGGAGTGTTTCTGCGTGGCCCAGTGTGTGGGATTCTTACATGCACTGCCTGTGCTGCGTGGAGAAGGCAAGGAGTGGGGTGCAGACGGGACAGGACCTGTAACATGCCGGGGCTCAAGTTGCCACGTGTGCTGTGTCCAGGCCTTGGGCTGAGCACTGGAAAAATAGGCTCGACCCAAGCGGCCAGTTAAACTTTCCATTGGCAGAGATTGAATTAGGTTTTTTTTTTTTTAAGGGAAATACTTCCATTTGAGTAGTTTTGTTTTTAATGAAATGAAATATTGAGATGTTAGCCCCACAGAGCCATGGGAGAGTGATTGATTAAACTCTGTGGTGCCATTTTGGACAGTCTCAGTACCAGATTCGGGCCCTGGAGGCCTTCTGGGGTTGCCGCCACCGTCAGGAGTTCCTGTTATCCCTGAGGAGGCTTCAGGCCTTCTGCCTGCCTCTCCCCCTGTTCCCAGCAGGAGCAGGAAGCAGAGGGCTTCCTGCACACTCAGACTCTGTAGTTTCTGAAAACATGCAGCAGAGCCCGCACTCCGAGGACACCAGCACTGACGTGTGATTACACTTCTCTCCCCAATCTTTCTGGGCTGCCTGGGATGAAGAAGCTGCCATGTCCTGTGCCAGGGCTTCTTAGCCAAAGCTTCAGGAGCAGATGTGCTACTGCCCAAATCAGACCCTGTTTAGAGTCGGTGTGACGCAGAGACCGTACGTTACGTGACACTCTGGGAGAGGGTTAGGGCAGTCAGCTGCCTCCTGTCACAGCAAGTTTGCAGCCAGTTCAGATCTGTCTTGCTGCCAAGTGATTTACTGAAACTTGCTGGTTTTTAGAGCTGCAGAATGGTGAAGAAAGAAATGCTGGCCGCATCCCACGTTGGGCCGGACAGGACTGCCTTTTACTCCCCGGAGCCTGCCTGGGTCTCGAGTTCTCAGCATGTGGAGGAGGCGTGAGCCAAGGGTGTCAACCTATGGCACGCGTCCTGTCCTGCAGCGGGTTGTTCGCATCTGTGAAAGCTCTAAGATGCTCGCCATGAGGGTGTGAGCTAACCAGCTGCAGGCAGTTGGCCCCCTCCAAGCACAAGCAGCCGCGGCTGGAGGCCTCTGGAGGTGCATGCAGCCCGAGACAGCTTCCTTGCCTGTGTCCAACCTCTCCGTCTAAAATAAGGGGGTGCCCCGGCTTGCAAGCAAGGCTGTTTCACAGCAGTTATACCGAAAGGCTGTTGCATTCCGATAAAAATAATGCGTAGGGTTATCACCTTGAGAAATTATAATGGAGGCCAGGCATGGTGGTACGCACCTGTGATCCCAGCTACTCAGGAGGCTGAGGCAGGAGAATTGTTGCAAGTTTGAAAACAGCCTGGGCTACAAAGTGAGTTCAAGGCCAGTGTAAACTTCATAGTGAGACCCTGTCTCAAAAAAGAAGAAAGAAAGAAATTTTAATGGCAGAGGATAAGAAATTACCCTAAAAAGGTTTGGACAAGCAGGTGACTGATAGGGCCGTGGCTGACAGCCAGGAGAAACCAGGATACCCCAGCTCAAGAGTGCAGCACAGCAAAAGGGAGCTAGCTTCAAGTGTGCACGTCTGAGTGTCTCCTACTTAGGCAGGCAAGGCTCTGCACTGGCCCAGGTACCTCAGCCCAGGCCAGTGCGGTTCTGTTAGCAGGTTGCCTTCTCACCTCTGAAATTACAGGGAGCTCCGCACACAGGGTGTGCTCTCCAGCCATGAGAGACGGGGGAGGTCTCAGCACCTGTACGGCTTGCGATCGGATTTTTGGTTTTATGAATTAACTGGGTAAGAAGTTGGAGAAGATTCCAGATATAGGAGCAGCCAGAACATACAAGACCTTGGCAGGGAGAAGGCAGAATGTGATGTAGCCAAAAAAAAAAAAGAAGAAAACCTGGCTTTGTGGACTGTCAGCAAGGCCAGCGCCCGGAGCCTCACTCTCCACAGCGCCCTCTTCCGCTGCCCAGGGAAGCTGCCAGGGGAGGAGAGGTCAGGACCACAGCAGCTGGGCCTCACTGGCCTCATCTGCAATCACGGGCCCCGAAGACACCACCTCCTCATCAGAGTCACCAAACCTTGTGGCACTGGGGGTCACCAGGCCAGACAGTGCTCAGCCTCACTAGCACGATGGTGGCTCCCAGAAAGTGGGGCAGCGAGAGCTCAGCTAGCATGAGAAAGGCTGGTGTGTGAAGGACATGAACGGACCTTCGGGGCTGTAGAGAAGCTTTCACTCCCTCGAGTGTTTGATGTGTCGTCTTTGTTTTGGGTCTGGTTTCTTCCTTTATTTTTGTCTGCTCAGCTGGAGTATCATTTACGTTTTAATTTTAAGAACACACTGCAGCACACTGACCACCACACACATGCAGTAGTAGTCTGCCCATAGGCCAAGTCTGCTTCCCTGCCAGGTTCCGTTTGATACCCTTCTCAGAGGTGTGAAAAAGAAGGGAGACATCCTGTGCAGCCCAGAATGCACAGCGCTTGCTGCTAGGGTCCTCTGCAGGAAGCTCCAGCCCCTCCACCTGCAAACCAGCAGTTGCTACCTGGCGGTATACTTTCCTTCCTTTGCTAGGATTTTGTATAACTGAACTCATGTAGTATGTTGCCTTCTCTGTCTGCCTTCTTTCTCTCAGAACACTTGAGATTCATCATCAGGTTTCTGCATGTGTGAGTTCTGTACTCCGTGCTGGTCTGCAGGGCCATGGCTTCCCATGGAGGCAGCCTGGGAAGTGTGGGTGTGACTAGGCCTCCCCTGTTCTGAGCTCGTGCAGGGCTGGAGTAAAAGAAAAGACCGCTCCAGAGGCGGTGGCCATGGCCTGGGCCCGGGCCCGCTCTCACTGACTTTGTCTTTGCAGGCATGAACAACCGGGAGGTGCTGGAGCAGGTGGAGCGCGGCTATCGGATGCCCTGCCCGCAGGACTGCCCCATCTCTCTGCATGAGCTCATGATCCACTGCTGGAAAAAGGACCCTGAAGAGCGCCCCACTTTCGAGTACTTGCAGGGCTTTCTGGAAGACTACTTTACCGCCACAGAGCCGCAGTACCAGCCTGGAGAGAACCTGTGAGAGCCGGCTCTGCAGAGGCCTTGTCCCAGAGGCCCCCACCCCTACCCATTAGCTTTCAGTTCTGTAGCCAGCTGCCCAGCAGCGAGAACCGTCCGGGATCAGATTGCATGTGACTCTGAAGCTGACGAACTTCCATGGCCCTCATTAATGACACTTGTCCCCAAATCCGAGCCTCCTCTGTGAAGCATACAGACAGAACCTTGTTATTTCTCAGACTTTGGAAAATGCATTGTACCGATGTTATGTAAAAGGCCAAACCTTTGTTCAGTGTAAATAGTTACTCCAGTGCCAACGACCCTGTGCTTTCCTTTTTTTAAAATGCAAATCCTATGTGATTTTAACTCTGTCTTCACCTGATTCAACTAAAAAAAAAAGTATTATTTTCCAAAAGTGGCCTCTTTGTCTAAAACAATAAAATTTTTTTTCATGTTTTAACAAAAACCAATCAGGACAGGTGTTTTTTTCTTTTTTATAAACATGAATGTATATAATACACGTCCCTGTAGATGGACCTCGTGGGTGCTATGTGGAGCCGTGGCCTGGGCCTGAAAACCACAGGACTCAGAGGGAAGATTTTATCTGCATCGAAGCCCTGGCTTGTTCTGAAATCCAGCAGCCTGGCTTTTGGTTTCTGCAAGGCATGATTGCTTTGTTCTTTTTGTTCGTTTAAATTGCACTCTTTTGGTTCACGGCTAAACTCGATGGTTGTTACTTTGGCTCTTCAGGAACCCTTGGGCTGAGTTCACAAGTTCTTTTACCAGTATTTGATCCAACTTGCTTCGATTTGTTCTTGAAACTTAGAAGTGAGCCCATTTAAGCAAGCAGCCAGTCCTACCGAGAGAACTGAAAGGCAGATACCACACAGACTTCTTGTATAAAAATATGAATGCCGAAATGTTTCAAATGTTTCTTATTTAATAAATCTTGTAACCACATATAAATGGTCTAAAACCCATAGCATTGTAGTCATGGCAACCTACTAAACTTTCTCATGCAACTAAAATTTCTGGGAAAAGTGAGGGTGGGGGTTGTATCTGTCCCATTGTAAAATAAGTGTTTTAAATGTCCTGTACTGCTAATGGATGATTTATATGTTCAAGAATTCTCCAGTGGAATAACTATGCACTAGTTTACATTTCATGGGGATGCACAAAAAAAAAAAAAAAAAAAAAAGTATTACATTTTTAGTTGCTGTTTGTACCAACCTTGAATTACATGTTTAACAACAAATCAAAAATTCGATTTCTATTGAGTTTTAATAGCAACTAAAACCAACCCTGAGGTCTTAACTCCTTTTTTGTTATGCTTTATTTGTGAGTTTACATTTTTAAATTGTTTAACTTTCTTAATTTAGTAATTAAAAAGAGAGCATTTTACATTTGAATTTTTTTGTTTATTTGTTTAAATCTCAAAAGGTCCCCTAGGAGTTCTCTGACATATCTGTCCCCCACACCAGATGGTAAAGAGTCACCTGGTGGATTTAGCCATTGTGCAGTGATTTCCCAAGGACAGAAACATTCAAAACCTCTAAAGATGCCTCCTCCCTCCACAGGCTGGGCAGCTCTTTCATCATTCCAAGGATTCCTAAAGCAGGTGGGCATCCCTTAACGTTTTGATTTGTTACACGTGTTGTCTGACTGGAATTTGATGTGTCCTACAGTTAGGAGAAAGACAGTTACAAGAAGCGTCTTTTTGTCGTAGTCAGTAAACATACTTCCAAGTGTCTCTCTGCTTCCGTGAGAAGCTGCTGCTCAAGGAGAGAGCTGAGTGTGTCCGAGAGAGCTGCCGGTGGAGTCCAGCTAACTGTCCAGGGCTGGCCGTGCTGTCACCAGCTCTGGGACCTAGAGCAACCACAGGCTCATGACAAGCAGCTCCCCTCAGCTGCCTGGAGATGAGGGTTTGGATGAGATTCCCTTTTAGACCCCTACAGTTCTAATACCCTGTGATGTGACGTGGAGACGCGTGAAAAAGACAGTGTTGCTACTGTCGTTGTTCAAATGTCTTTTTGATATCTGGAATGGAGCTCAGGACCACACTTGCCGGGCAGGCGCTGTGCCGCTGAGCTGTATCCCCAGCCTTCAAGTAACCTTTATATTTAGAAAGGGTTTCCAACATCTGGAGAGATTAAAAAAAGTAAAACAAAGATTGTTTTGATTAACCAAAACATTATGATATAGTTTTGGTATTAATACCTTAGCTAAATTGATAAGATCCCAAGGTCTCACTGCGTATAATTTTTATCACATTATTGGCCAATTCACTAACATATTCTTGATGTTTTTTAAAAACAACTTTATTTTTAATCTTTTCATCTCACTAAGATAGATAATTTGCAGATAGTCTCTAAAGCATTTTTGTTTGTATTTTGACTCATTCCAAAAGCAATGAAAAAAAAACTTGTTTTAAACAGACATTTTCTAAGAAAAAAAAAATGTCTTCAAGCCAAAATATAGCCTTTAATCAACTGAGTTCATTTCGAATTCCCTTACATATAAGCCAGACTAAGGACTTGGATCAGCTTGAGGGAATGCTTTTTACAAGGTGCTGGAGCTGTTCTGAGATGCTAGCGATGAGGTTGTAGAGTGAGATTAAAAAGAAGGCATAAATGCAAAGAAATCAGAGGCGTTTAGGGGGGTTTTTCTTCTACGAAGTGAATGTGCTTTCAAGGGATAATCCTGAAGTCACCTCCAGGAAGCTCCGCCACCTCCCAGGAATCCAGTGTCCCTCACCAGTTGGAGAAGTTTGGAGCAAGGAAACCACATTCCATGACCAGAGTTCCCTTGTTAGGAAGAAAGTTAGCAGCTGGTGTCAGCTAACAGTGAACAATTTTCTGCCGCTGGTAACCTGGTAATGAGTTTCTGCTGCGTTCCCTCAGGAGCGCTGCCATCGGGCCTTGGTGCTGGATGGGGAACCTTTCAATAGAGAACCCCTGGAGAAGACCGCTCAGGAAGCTCAAACATAACTGAAACCGGAGGATTCCATTCACCCCATTCCCATGGCAACTTGTGCTGTCCCCACACATGGCAAGGAGGACCAAAGAGCCCTGCGAGATGTGGGTGCCCCGTGTTAGCACATCCAGGTCAAGACCAAGCAAGTGACACATTTGGCTCTGCCTTGTGTCAAGAAGTAGGTATTTTCAGGAGAAAAGGTACGGGCGTATCCACCTTGAGAAAGGCAGGAGGGCTCCTGTGGCTGCATCCTGGCATAAGAGGATTTTTCTAGTAGCACCGGGGCTGTGAGATTTTATCTGCAGGTCCCCGTGGGGCCTTAACAATTTCTACCGTAGTAATTAGAATGATTCTTTCAGGAGTCTTGAAAGAAGAAAGTTTTCACCAGCACGCAGAGGAGAATTATACTAAAGCCCACTGCAAAGGGATGGCATCTATGTATTTGTCAGGACTCAGGACAAGAGAACCTTGCTGGACAGGGCAGGCATCCTAACACATTTATTTGAGTAACATGATGTTTGTTCGTTTGTTCCTGAAAGGTATTTTAATGGACTTCGATGCTTTTTTATTGGCTTTCTTTCCACTGTGTATTATAATGTTGAAATTCATTTAGTCAAGTATATCTGCTGAGAGGAAGCTAGGGAGAGGAGGAAGACTACCTTTGATTTTGAAGGAAGCAAATTTTAGTTACAAAAACAACGTGGTAGGATATAAAAGCATTATCAATTATATTATTTATTTAATTCTCGATTAAAACTACAGCAGAGTGTAATGAAAGAATAGCATCTTTAATGTCTCTGAAATGTCAAAGGAAGTTCTCCTAATAAACTAAATCACATTTCATTCGTTCCCAACCTGCAAAATATTCAGAATTCCATGGGAGAGGGTTGGGGTGTATCTCAGCGGTGAGGTGCATGGCCAGAGTACATGAGGTCTTGGGTTCAATCCCCCAGCATCAAAAAAATAATAATAATTCTGAGTCTAGAAATAAAAGTGACTTTTCAGTGTGTCGGGAATCATCCTCATGTGATCAATGACAAACTGCTGCTCCTCCATTAGCTGGAATACCATGCTCCTTTGGATTGCTTGCAGCTCTTAACGTTGTGTGTTTGGCATCACAGATATATTTAACGATACTGCTGTCCTGGCAGTGTGTTTTCCCTGCCAGACAGTGTCTCCTTGCGAACATAAACTGGCTGTCTTGCTGCTTTCTCTGCCCTGCGCCAAGGCCAGTGCTGAGTTTATGCAGACGTTGGACGATGCATCCATGCTAGATGGATGCTCTCCATCCAGTGGGTGAACGGTCTGCCTTCCAGTGACACACGTCCGCCTCAGAACCTGCTAAGCCCACAGATTACTGCATGCTGCCCCCAGCACTAGTCCTGCACCTTTTGAATGTGTGGTCACATCTTTGAGATGTGACACAAAGTCCCCATCTATAACCGGAAATAAACACCATTGATACTTTCCCCAGAACTCATCCCAACACCAGTGTGGGTAAACCCCAGAAGCTGAGGCTGGGATGGACTGAATAACACCAAATGATACACAGTCTTAAAGTGACTTTGTGCCTCATTTTGGCTTGGTAATTGTATGGAAACTTGGTATTCCACTCCCTAACGTATCCATCTCTGTCTCCTGTAAAATTACTCACCCAGACCATCTGACTGCATGATATATTCAGCCTATGGCTTTGAATAGCCCTGACACACTTTCGCCTGACCAGGTCAGCATCTGTAGCCCATGTGAGAATCTCAACGTGAATCCATAAAACCTTTCTGCCCATGTGGGAGAGGTCAAGTTGGCCTTGACTAATTCTCTTATCTGATTTCCTTTTTCACCCAGGAAAGAAGATGGGACAGGGAAGGAGGGCTTTTGATGATAAGAAGGGGGTGGAGACCCCCCAGAGCCACCTGGGAGTGGCAGTCTGGCCCAGTCAGCCTGCTTCACCAGTATGCAGTGAGGGGGCGGGAAAGATATAGACACTGGAAAGGAGGACGAGACCAGAGCCGGGAGGAGAGGAACCTTCTGGAATAAAGATGGAGAGAGCTGTGGATACGTGTAAGAGCTAACTATTCATTCCTTAGTACAGTCTACATCTAAAAGACCCCCAAGGCCTCCTGTACTCACGGGCATGGACTAGGATCAGCACAGCTGATTTGCTGTTTGGAGGTAGCCCAGTCAGAAGAGATGGGTCACTGGGAGCACGGTCTGGAAGGGTGCGTTCCCCCAGTCTCCTTCCTTCGGCTCTGCTCCCTATCTGCCCTGCTATGAGCAGCTCCCCTCTGCTACGCCCCTGTGCCATGCTGTGGCCCCCTTAGAGCCCTTGACTATGAAACAGGAATCAGAATAGCCCCTCTTCCCCTAAGTTGCTCGTGTCAGGTATTGTGTCTCAGCAACAGCAAAGTGACGAAGACAGTCCTTCCCTAGACTTTTATTGTACACCTGGTATGGGCTGGACTCTGTGCTTAGCACTAGAAACTTAAAAATAGACAGTTAACATTCACAGCCCAGTGGGATGGAGCCCCGTTAATATAGCCGTAGTGCACTCTGTGGACAGAAGTTGGCAAAGGCACCATCCCCTGCCCCATGTGCCAGTGCTGGGAGGCCTCCTGGAGGGACTGCGTTCAGTCTTCAACACAGGGGTGCTGCTTAACGGGATGGATCTGATACATCTTGGCCCTGAATATGTCACTTTTGATTCCCAGCCCCCAGTTAGGGCTACCTCGGCTTCAAGCATAAAAGTATGAAGAAAAGCCAAAATATGCAAGAAATCTCTCTTCTCCCCTCCCCTTCTCTCTCCCTCCCAACCCCAATAAAATCATTTCTTCTGATTAGTGGACCGAATGGAGGAGGTGGTGAAAACACCATTCAACTACAGACACTGTGATTTTTTCCTTTTTAAGCCAGAGTCTCGCAGTGCAGTTCAGGCTGAACTTGAACCACTGTGCAGTCCAGACTGGCCTCCAACTCCTGACAGTCCTCCACCTCAGCCTCCCAGGAGCTCGAATTACAGGGTGTGCCACCACCTCCAGAGGCTGCGGAGTCTAAGCAGGTTGTTGTGTGTGGTCCCAGCTGAAGTTTAGTTGGAAATATATTTATAGACTATGAGAATAAAGGAACTGCTGGGAAAGAGACCAGGAGTAACTCTTACTATCTCTTTTAATAACAATTAGTGGGAGTTTCTCTCCTGTTTATAAGCTCCTTCTTTTGTTTCACTTCCTAGGCAGGCTGTTTTGCTCGAACTGTCACGCAATATGCAAATTCATGAAGAAGGTATATACTAGCAGTTGCAAGACGCTCTGGTTGTTTTGTTCTGGATATTTTTCCTTTGGTTAATTATCAAGTGTCTGCTATGTAATAATCGATGAGTAGCTAATTGGAAGCAAGAGACAATGAAATGAGTATTGTTGGGATAGTGTTTTAATGAAAAGCATACATGTAATTCTGTGGGGAGATACCACAAGAGACTTTATCTTTTTGGGGGGTGGGGGAATGTTTACAAAAAGATTCATTTAAGCTACTCGTAAACTGGATCCAGTATATGAATCCTTCCACCCAAGTGGTTAGCAGGGCAGATAGCAGGGAGGCGGCCACGTGCCCCGGATGGCTCAGGAACCCAGACTGCACTGTGGAGCCCGCAGGTCCCTCAGTTCCCAGAGTGAGGAAATGGTAAGTGAATGACAGCAGTTGCCTGGAGAATTAGGGAATGAATAACAATGCTTTCTGGTAAATTAACCGTATTACATTGTGCACAGGAAAGTGATGGGGGGAAATCTTGTTAAAAACTGAATAATAATTTACCCACATCATTTACGTAAAATGCATAATTTTCCTAGTTCAGTAGACTTTAGTTTGATTTAAAATATGAGCTCCAAGACTGTTCACCAAAGCGTAATTTGGGCGATAATGAGGAAGGGGAAGAAGAATCAACTGTAATCAGCACACCCCTTTGTGAACCAGCTCCCCTCCCCCTTCTTACCTATGAATTTCAGAAAATATTTGCTCAGACATTCCTGAAGGTTGCTAAGTGAAAGTGCAAAACATTGGTCATTGTCACTGCCGTCACTAAGCCATGACCTCACCACGTTTGAGGGGGAGAGCAACGTTTCATTCTGTTCAGTGTTTTCTGCTCTCACTCAAATACATACTAGGTTTTGAGTAGTA